ATAAGTGTCCCTCCTCCTCTCTGGAAAGCGGCCTAAGAAAAGTGACCATGTCAGTCTTATTCATGGTTTATATTCCTAGTTCATGCTTGTTGACTATTTTATTGGATGGATGGATGGATGGATGAATGGATGGATGGATGGGTGGGTGGGTGATTTGCCAGGTTATGATCAGAGCTCTTTGCATAGAGAGGCAGTCTGACAGAGTAGTTAAGAGTGTGTGCTCTACATTAGCTGTGAGACTTTGGGTCAGTTTTTCAATTTCTCAATGCCTCAGTTTCCTCATGTATAAAACGAGTATAGAAATAGTGCCTTCATTATAGTGTTGTTAAGGGAACTGCATCAGGGTAATACATATGAAGTGGTTAGCAACGCTCTGAGAGTTACTCAATAAATATCTGCTATTGTTACCAATGTGGAATGACAGTCTCCTGGGTGGCAGTTTGCTATTCACATATTGCATCCCTGCCCTTTCAGCTCTATTACAGATCAAAGGATGTCAATGAGGAAGCTAAAGTTATTACTTTGAGTTCAAGATCTCAGAAAAGATTAAGAAGAAAATTTGGAAATGAATATAAGTAGGATATTGAACAATAAAATTTTAAAAAGTTCAAGAGGCATGTCTAGAGCAACATTTCTCAGGCAATACAATGGCTCTCCAGCTCTCACCACACCCTCCACAAACATCAGAGTACCAGTTCATCTCTGTTCTGGAACACACTTGGTATGCCTCATAGAATGTCATGCCCAATAAGCATCAGTGAAAGTTCACTGATGCAGAAGAAAGAAAGAAAAGTGTGTGTGTGTGTAGGGGGGGAGGGGGGGGGCGGGGATTCATTTGAAGTAGAATCTTATCTAAACCTAAGAGTGTTATATTATCTTTGTTTCTTTTGAAAATCTAATAATCCTCTTTTTGTGTAAGACCTTGAGTAGAGTTATCATACTACTTCCTCATATGCAGTTACGTATTACTTTCTAAATGCTTCCTTCTACTTCTATCAGAGGAAATTCATTTGGCCACTTCCCCAACCATGAGGGAAGTATCATTTAGTCATCCATTATAAAGTAATTTTTAAGTAAATTAGCTTATTGTCATCTCATTGATAGAAAAAAATAGGCATAGAAAGAATATGTAACTGACCCTAATACTTTACTTACCAACTCTTTTTATTCTTTGAGGCCACAGATATTTTATCTACTCCACAGGGACAGCTTGGTCCTTACATCCTATATAATAAAAGCCTAATATGCAATTCAACCGAATAGTGGAACAACCAGTTGCTATGATGCACACTGACCACCAGGGGGCAGACGCTCAATGCAGGAGCTGCCCCCTGATGGTCAGTGTGCTCCCACAAGGGGAGCGCCCCTCAGCCAGAAGCCGGCTCACTGCTGGCAAGCGCAGCAGCAGTGGTAGGAGCCTCTCCCACCTCCGCAGCATCACTAAGGAGCAGCGAGCAGGCGGGCAGTAAGGAGTGAGGGGTCCCAGACTGCGAGTAGGCACAGGCTGGGCTGAGGGACCCCCTCACCCTCAGTGCACGAATTTCATGCACCAGGCCTCTAGTTTTTAATAAGATGTTTCATTGCCTAAAACTTTAAACAAAAAAAAATTAAATTGTGTTGGCCTAGTTCTAGTTTTGATGGGCAGGAAAATCAGTTTATAATATAGGACAAAATGTTGTTCCACTGGTTTCCTCCATTTAGCAGGAAACAAACACTGATGTGAACATGAACAGGTGATATGGTACCCCATGACCTTTGGGATGAATTCTTTCTTCCAGACCAATGGGAGTCGCCATATTACCCTCTTACATCAAACTCTCTGAAGGTTCAATAGAGTCACCTGAAAGGAATCTCTTAGAAGGAGAGGAAATAAAATGCAGGTAGCGAAGAATAGAGTGAAGAAATAAAATGGAGTTTCTATGGTCAAGCTGCTGAATTGTTAAAATCAAGTAGGCTGAGCCTTGAAAAATGATTCTATTCTTGCTTTCACTATCTGGGAACTTAAACCTTTGAACCTTCCAGTTGTACCTGGAATATAAATGTATAAATCCTATAAGATAACCTTCTAACAGCCCTCAAGGATTTAGGGGGGAAAAATGTTTAGTTGACCAGACCACCTGGCACCCAGTCTCCAGACCACCTGGCATCTATCATACAGAGTGACACACAACCGGACACATGGCATTTGGCTGATAACTGTCCTGGATCAATACAAGGGCCAATAATGCAAGACTGATTATTCTCAAAGATGTGACTTCTACAATAAGAACTCTTAACTTTTCTTTTTCTTCAGAACAGTTCTAGGTTTTAACTAGCTGTGTTTCCAGTTGGCAAACTCTAAGACCCTTGAATAAATCTTTTATCATTTTTTCTATTAAAGCTTCCTGATTCATTTATGCTTGATTGATATTAGAAAAATAAGAGAAACACAATTGATAACTGTAATAAAAGCAACCCTCAGAAGATGTTGTCCATTATCTGTATAAACAGTTTCCCTAATGGAATTCTCACTACTTCAACCAAGCAACCTCTTCCCCTTGAGGTAGCTCATATTGATTAAAGGTTTTCTCAAGAATCATCTCTGAAAACAATAAAACTATTCCAAGCCTTCCCTTCCATGACAGCTATAATACCACTTAAAAAGTCTTAGATCTGTTAAGACCTCCATGACATGCTCTTCCCCCTAACCTTTTCTCAACATTTCCTGTTGGAAATCTTCCAGACACTCTCCATCTAGCTTCCTAGGGTGTCTGAAGTGACGGTTTTTAACAGCTGGAAGAAGGATGCTCATCAAAGCCAAGAGCGGTAGCCCCCTTTTCTCAGCCATGGCACAGTACTTCTATAAATACATACATAAGAATATTGGTACTATGGTCTGAATATGTACCCCTAAAATTCATGTTGAATTCTAACTCCCAAAGGTGATGGGAAGTGCTTAGGTCATGAGGAGGGAGCCTTCATAAATAGGATTAGTGTTCTTATAAAAGACGCTCCAAAGCCCAGCAGGTGTGACGTAGATGGTTAAGTGTCTTCCCATGCACCAAGAGGTCACCGATTTGATTCCCAGTTAGGGCACATGCCTGGGTTGCAGGCTCAATCTTTAGTAGGGGGCATGCAGGAGGCAGCCAGTGGATGTTTCTCTCTCTCTCTCCCTTCCTCTCTCTGAAATCAATAAAAAATACCTTTAAGCCCTAACCAATTTGGCTCAGTGGATAGAGCATCGGCCTGAGGACTCAAGGGTCCCAGGTTCAATTCCGGTCAAGGGCATGTACCTTGGCTGCGGGCACATTCCCAGTAGGGGGCATGCAAGAGGCAGCTGATCCGTGTTTCTCGCTCATCGATGTTTCTGTCTATCCCTCTCCCTTCCTCTCTGTAAAAAGTCAATAAAATATATTTTTTTTAAAATACCTTTAAAAAAAGAGAGAGGGGCTCCAGAGACATCCCTCGCCCCGTCCACCATGTGAGGACCCAGCAAGAAGGTGCTGGCTATGAACCAGGAAGAGGCCTTCACCAGAATGCAACCAGGCCAGCAACTTGATCTAGTCTCCAGAAATGTGAAACATTTCTGTTGTTTATAAGCTACCCAATCTGTAGAATTTTGCTATAACAACCCAAATGGACTAAGACAATTGGATCACTTATTTATTTGCCAACCATATCACAACACTATTGGCTCATAATGAGCTTAAAGTCAAGTAAAATTTCTTAGTCTTTTTTACTTAAACTGGCTCACAGGCCACATTTTCCCCCCATATTACCCTTGGGCAATTGACTTTGTGAACTAAAGAACAAGACTTTATATTTCCCCCAAAGTTTTACCCTCAGTCATTCTCTTATCTGCTCAGTCTTTTAATTCCACCCCATAACTTGGGTTCATCTGCAAATTTGACCACCCATACTTCCTATGACTTAATTCAGGTGGACACTAATGCTACAATGGTCAGAACAAAATACATAGCCCCTGGGCTCACCACTAAAGACCCACTCACCATCTTTATAAAACACTTCTTAAAATTATTTCATTTAATTCTTACAACGCTCCTATGAATAAGATACTATCATCATTCGACATGTGAGGACAGAGATTCAGAAAAGACTACCTGAATTGCCTGATGTGATACAGCTAATAAACAACAAATAAGAAACAAGCCTTGCCCGGCTGGACTGGCTCAATTGGTTGAGCATCGTCCTGTGCACAGACCTGGGTTTTGGGTTCAATCCCCAGCCGGGGCATGTACGGAAGGCAAGGGATCGAAGTTCATGTGTTTCTCTCTCTCTCTCTCTCTCTCTCTCTCTCTCTCTCCATTCCTTTCTCTAAGCATGTCCTCAGGTGAGGATAAAAGAAAAAAAAAAGAAACAAGCTTTAGGGTTTCTGTTTCCAGTGTTTTTTTCAAAGACAGATTTTTAAATACAGTAATTAAATAAATATGCAATCTCTGTTTCCTTCCTCCCCACCCAAGGGTATCAACAGAGACTAATTAAAATCAAGAAACCTTTTCCAGAGACCCAGTAGGTAAAACAGACTAAAAGCAAGCTGCTTTGATAGAAGCAAGGTGGGGGACACTTAGCCTCATCTCTCTGTCCCACCTGGGACATCCCCTCAACCTTGCCCTAGATCAGTGATGGTGAACCTTTGAGCTCGGCGTGTCAGCATTTTGAAAAACCCTAACTTAACTCTGGTGCCGTTTCACATATAGAAATTTTTTGATATTTGCAACCATAGTAAAACAAAGAATTACATTTTTGATATTTATTTTATATATTTAAATGCCATTTAACAAAGAAAAATCAACCAAAAAAATGAGTTCGCGTGTCACCTCTGACACGTGTGTCATAGGTTCGCCATCACTGCCCCAGATGGTAATGTGACACCTTACAGTCCTTAGAGTACATTGGGAAGTCACTAGCCAGGTGCATGTCCTCAAACTGTAACCTTTTCTAAAAGTAATTTTTAAAGTAAGACTAGGTTTGTCATCCCTTATTTTTATAATACATTCTAAAATTTTGTGGGAGAACACCCATCTAAGAGGTTTAATAATCTTTTACAAGGAACACAAATGTTTTAAAATTTGAAGACATCTTTGGGTTTATTCAAATGTTTATTTTAACAGATGAAGAAACAGCAGCCCAGAGAGGAGAAGTAACCCAGAATTATTCCGTGGAGGAGCAAGAACAAGAACCCAAGCCTGGACCCTCCTAGGCAGGTAAATTCTTCTAATCATACCATGGAGTCTCGCTTTTAGAAACCTGACCCTTTTGATTATAAAACAACACCTTTCACAAGACGAAGTTTCTGGTTCCCACTTAAGTAGCTAACAGAGACATATTATATACTCAATGTTATAATGGCATTTAAGATGACACAAAGGGGTAAAGTGTGGCAACTAGCTTTAGTAGTGAGAGGCCTTGAAACACTGGCTCTTAGTTAACAGGCATTACACAGGTTCCTTTGAAGTATATGCAGAAAACTTCATGCAAAATTTGCAAATATTCCAAGGAGTTCATACATGTTCCCCATGCCACCCCCCAACTTTTGGCCTCCAGGTTAAGAACCTCTGGCCAATTCCAGTACAAGTGCCAGTGTCGGGCTTGCATAGCACCAGCTACTATCTTATTTCTGGGTCTGTTGGTTAGAGGCTGCTTCTGTGTCAACAACCTTCATCTTTTATTTAAATGGAGCAGCATCTTATTCTGGAGGAACTTTGATGAAGAGAGGAGTAATGTTTTAATAAGTTATTAGTTAACCAGATGGGGCAAATTAATAGAGAAATATAAGATGAAAGCATTTTCTTTCAAAAATGTTAACAATAAAAGTGGGGATGGTCAGTGTTCATAATAGGAATTTATTTTTTTTCTGTTTCTTTTTATTTTAAAAAAAGAAAGAAAAGGAAATAGAATTTTTAAAAAACCTAGATTACCACTAGCTGCCTACTCACTTTTATTAAACCAATAGCCAATGGGGAAAAAAAGAGTAGGGGTGTGGAAAAAAAAGAAATAAATGTATCTTCTGAATGACTGTTTCTTAATCCTTCCCTTTTGCTAGAGAAGATTTATGGTTCTGAAATGGTTCACAACAATTTCTTCATTTAAAATAGTTTTTCCAGCGGGCATAGCTCAGTGGTTGAGCATCAACCTATGAACCAGGATGTCATGGTTCAATTCCTGGTGAGGGCACATGCCCAGGTTGGGGGCTCAATCCCCAGTTTGGGGCATGCACGAGGCAGCCGATCAATGATTCTCTCTCATAATTGATGTTTCTATCTCTCCACCTCCCTCCTCTTTGAAATCAATAAAAATAAAATAACCAGAAAAAATAGTCTGGGCAGCTCTGATATTACTTTAAAGTTATTGATAATAAGGCTTGATTTTACTAATTCAAAAAGTATCTGATAGACACGCAGCATTTGGACAGCACTGCTACGGGAGGCAGTATGGTGTGATGAACCATTTTGGAGTGAGAGAGTCCAGGACTGAATTCCAGTATTACCTCCTCCTTAGCTTTGACAATAAATGAGGTACAAAAACTTAATGAGCCCCAGTTTCCTAATCTTTGAAATGAGGTCATATATATTTTATCTCCTTTATGACATTATGAAATAACATTTTGAAGAGTAACCTCTCTTAAAAAGACTTGTAATTTAATAACTAATAAAGTTCCTATGTTGTGCCTTAGAAATGATCTCATTCTCCTTTATTCTTTGCCTGGTATTCATAGCCTTAGCAATAGTGCATTAGCATAATGTGTAGTAATCATAACAGTTAACATTCATTTAGCCTTTCCTATGTATTATCCTAAATACTTTACACTTTTTAATCTTCCAAGAAATCATATGAAGTTCTATTATCATTCCTATTTTCCAGTCGAGGAAATAAAGTCCAAGCTGTGGAGTAGCTTAGCCAGGGTCAAACCCAGACAGAATCCAGAGCCAGAGCTTGTTAACGACTCTCCAACTTGCCTTTTGCCAGGATTCTCACCCAGCTCCCTGTGTGTTCACCATGGGGCGCATTAACTAAAGGGGTTCAAATATATGGTGACAGGTGGAAACTGAACTTTTGCCTGTGAACATGCAATAGAGTATGCAGATATCAAATTATAATGTTGTATTCCTGAATTTATATAATGTTATTAACCAATGTTACCTCAATATGTATAGTTAATTTTAAAAATGGAAATCATGCCCTGGCTGGTTTGGCTCAGTGGATAGAGCGTCAGCTGCGGACTGAAGGGTCCCAGGTTTGATTCTGGTCAGGGGCACATGCCTGGGTTGTGGGCTCGATCCCCAGTGGGGGACTTGCAGGAGGCAGCCAATCCATGATTCTTTGTCATCATGGATGTTTCTATCTCTCTCCCACTTCCTTCCTCTCTGATATCAATAAAAATATATTTTTTAAAAAATAAAAATGGGAATCATTTAAGTTAAGCACCTCACCAGTGCCTGCCACAGCGGTACTTAATAAATGCTGTTTCTGTTCCTGAAGACTTCTACATGATAAGATTCATGTATCTTAATCCAAATATCATTTTAAAATATATTTTTATTGATTTCAGAGAGGGAGAGAGAGACATAAACATCAATGATGAGAGAGAATCATTGATTGGCTGCCTCCTGCACACCCCTTACTGAGGATGGAGCCCTCAGCCCAGGCATATGCCCTGACCGGGAATTGAACCATGACCTTCTGATTCATAAGTCTACGCTCAGCCACTGAGCCATACCGGCTGGGCTTAATCCAAATATCTTTATGTCTTAGGATATTCCCTCTGGTATTCTTGACAAACAAACCCACATTCATTCAAAGAGGGAAAAGAACATTTCATCTCACCCAGTTGAGGCCTGTAGTTTTATCGGTTACAAAATTTTTTGGTTGAAAATATTTCTCCTAATATGCCCAGTTGTTGTGAGCCTTCTCTACGTTTACTTGAGAATGAACAAAGTTTTTAGGAAACAAACCATTGTTACCCATTTAAAAGAAAAAGTTGGAGTTCAGCACATCTCCCCTTTTCACTACAAGCCTACCCATCGCCATGCACTTAGAAGGCAAAAGAGAAGGAAACCAACAGTAAATACTGTGTCCTCACTGTTCTTCTCAGGAGAATGAAAAATCCACTTCACTAAACTGTCAGCAAACTTTCTTTCTTTTAGTACAGTTTATCATTTAAGTAGCTCACTTCTAAGTACAAGATCACAAAGTGTAATTAGAGTACGTAATGTAATTGCCTAAAAGCAGGTTTTGACATAACTCTATAAACTCCTGCCTTTCCCTTCTCTCCTCCTCCCGCCCCCCCCCCACCCCCCATCATTTCAGTAACTAGCTGACCTGGAATGCTAACCAGCCCAGTAGGGAAATGCCCCTTGGATCTGGGGGTTTTCAG